AGTACGAAATTTTTTATAAGATAAATTCTGTTATGCGAGATAAAAATTATTTTTTTGTTAAATAATATCTCACAAAATAAACTTATAAATATAATAGTCGCATACAATAAATTTATATACTCCATCAATATACTTCATGAATTTATATTTTCTTGATACCAAAGGGTAAAATGGACTTTATGATATGAATTTAACGGTCAACTTACGGATGGGGTATAAAAGGATCCAAACTGAAATTTAGGGATATGGAAAGGAATGAGCAAATCTTAGGGGTATAGAAGGGATTAGGCGAACTTTCATGGGTACGAAGGGAATTTTCTCTTTATTGAGTCTAAGTAATACTATGATTCTTCTTGTTGAGTAAGTAGGAGATTTTGAAATTTGAGAAGAACCGATAATGAAATGGAGAGTACTCGTTGAAATGTGCTGAAATAGTATAGATTTGAGAATGGGTACCACCACTACTAGTATAGATTTTGAAAGTTGGGGAGAACCAATCGTGAAATGGGGAAGGACGTGTTGAAATGTGGTGTAATAGTATAGATTGTGGAACTCAGATGTTAATGGTAGGAATGGTGTGGGAATGGACGCCACCACTACTAATAATATTTTAAATAGACAGTAGTATAGGTAAATATGTTCTTTTAGCAAGGGGAACGGGGACTAAAGATGATTTTTTATCCTGGTTTAAAACTCTATCGGCCCTAGGTGATCTTTAGTCCCGGTTTCATTTTCTGTTCGAGGCTGTCAGGGGGCCAGGCATTGTTAGTCCCACTTGGTGTGACCAACCGGGAATAAAAATTGATCTTTATTCCCGGGACTAAAAATTCATATACAGTATATAATCCCTAGGGCTTATCCTCCTAAACTCCTCATCTTCCTATTCCTCTCTCTTATCCTTATCCTCTCCTTCCTATTCCTCCTCTATCGTCGAGAGCAGATCGAGCGAGAGCGAGCGAGGCGGGCGGAGGGCGGCGCGGAGGGCAGCGTAACAGGCGGCGGCCTGCGCCTTTAGAATTTTTGATTCGGATCTGAGATGTCTTTGATTTGTGTATGATGTAAATATGTGATGTATTTGTGATGATTTTTTTTAGAACTTGTGATGTATTTTTTTTAGAATTTGTGATGTATTTGGAGATGATCGAGTTGTGGATTTGGAGATATCCTTTTGTTCTGTGATATGTGATGATCGATTTGGGATTTCATGATTTGGAGATGGAGTGAAATCAATATTCAATGTTAAAACAATGAAAAAAATGAAAAAAAATAGCAACCGGACTTGGCTTGGCTCCATCTTTAGTCCCGGTTGGTAAAATTTTTAATTCCGGTTTTTTCACCCGGGACAAAGATGGGCATCTTTAGTCCTGGTTGCATAACCGGGACTATAGGGGGTTATCAACTGGGACTGATGCCCCTTTCTCCAGCATTGTCCCCACAACTTTCCTTCCTTGCTTGCTTCCTCCCACCTTGCATCCTAGGTGAGCCCAGCCACACGATCCTCCCCTTCCCCTACAGGAGAGACCTGTGAAAACTAGCTTAGCTTGGCTTCGAGCCCTCCCCGCTGTCTCTGGCGATCTGCCATGTCAGAGCACCTCACGCTGTGAAGATCCGTCGGAAACCGTAGCTCCGTGTTGTTGATGTCCTATCACTACCGACTCCTGCCACAACACGCTAACCCGCTCAACTCCGTTTGGATCTACTGCTTGCACCTTCTCCTTAGGACGTACGCCGTCTCCACTGACGAGTCCCACGCACCATCGTCGCCTCTCCCAATGGGCACGCCAGGGTTCGATCCCTTCCGCTGGAGCCTGCACCCTCGGTAGGGCGCGCCTCTCGGCGTGTGGGACGCCGCCTCCCCCGTCCGCAGTGGCGGCAGCGGTGGTGGAACTGGTCCCCCTATGCCCGCCCGCCTGCCCGCACTGTTGCCTTTGTTGCTGGTGACTAACTTCGGGGAGTTCTTGCCGGTGAGAGGGGCATTTTTGTCTCATCACCACGTGGCCGAGCAAAAATAATTTTGGAAATCACTGAAACAAACGAAAATGGAATATGGCAAGTAGCACACGCTCAAGATTGGTATTTTATCGAATCACCAAATGTCCATTTTCTCGTCCGAGGCAGATATTCCCCTGCTCCGATTATTGACATGGATTGTTTATTTGATTGATGCGATAAGTTCATATTTTCAAAAATAAACTTCACAACTACTATTCAATATAGCCGAAGGTTTTTTTCTCTTTTTGTTGAGAATTTAATTAAAAGAGTTGAGCAAATAATCCAAGCCAAAAATCTAGAGAAATCTTTTTAAATAACATGGACAATGTGGCGATGGATGATGATTCCATCCACCAAAGTGTAGATAATGATGGCCACAATATAGTTGTGTGCATTAATTCTTAGTTCGTGCGGAGGTGAATGTTCACCTATATGGCTATATATAGCGTCACTACTACAAAACATTAAATAGGTGTCAGCACTAGTGCTAAAACCGGCACCTATAAGCCTTTTCCCATTTCCACAGGTTGAAATCGCAAAAAACCGACACCTTTAAGCAATTATAGGTGCTGGCTCTGAATAAGAACCGACACCTATTCTATATGTGCCGGTTTTTTTAAAAAACCGGAACCTTTAATATTTTATATATGCCGGTTAATTAAAAACCAACACCTATAATAGGTGTCGGTTTTTTTAAAAAACCGGCACTCCAAAATTAAGCCAAGCCGAACTGAACAGCTCGCTTCTTATCCACTCCTCATCTCTCTCTTCCTTATCCTTTCCTTCACCGCTCGCTCCTCTTTCTCTCGCTCTCTCTCGATCTCCGGCGGCCCGTTGGGATGGGAGGTAGCGGCGACGCACTCCCTCTCTCTCTCACCCTCTGTCGCTCTCTCTCGGTCCCTTTCTCAGTCCTGGCGGCCCGGTAGGAGGGGAGCGACGGCCACAGTGGCGGCGGGGGGAGGGGAGGAGGTAGGGCCGAGGGGCGAAACCAGCCGCCGTGCCCGCCGGATCCAGCAATGGTCGCCTCGGCGGTGGGTGGGGCTGTGTCGGCAACGGGTGGATCCGGCATCGGCGGGGTGTCCCGTGGTGTATCCGGCGACGGCCGTGTCGGCGGCCGCCCGGGCGGCATCCGTAGGGTGTCCCGCAAGGATCCAGTGACGGCCGCAGGGTGAGAGTCGGCTCGATGCATTCGAGCTTACCATTTTTTTTCAGTCCTTGAACCTCAAACGTGCCGGTTTCTAAACCGGCACCTTTTATTCTCCACATCAGTGCCGACTCTGTGGTGTTGGTTAGGAAAACCGACACCTATAGGGGTTTTCTAACCGGCACCAATTAGGGTATCTGTAATAGTGCGTGTTGATCCATAACATTTGAAACTCAAATTATATTTTTCTTATTACATGAAAAACACATAAGTACATAGACATATACACCACTACACTTGTACGTACATCCTCGCGAGTGCAGTACCTTGCTATGTTCAGGCTCGTAGAATTAGTTGTGCAACATGAGTGACCACACAGGACCCAATTTTTTTTAGGCCAAAGCAACACGCTCCAATATGTTTTAGTACTTCTTCGCTCCATTTCTTTAGAGATACCTCTTCCTCGATCCATCGATTCTTTTCATAGTCTTCGGAAAGTGTCCCATGGTAATCATGGCCACATATGAAGTAACTATTGCTCAAGATGATAATGCGAACAATTGTTTGGTCACTAAATATATATAATAAAATATAAGGGCTTTTATCCGGAGAGGATAGACATGTTAGTCTGCCACTGGCTCCAGCCATGTTGATTATACAATTTATCTCCGCTCGGTAGCATGCTCGAGAAGAATGTTAGATTGATATAGGGACACCACCCGTATAATGTGCATCGAGCAAACAGCAGCAGCTAGCGGTGAAATCTACCCCCCTCTCTCTCCTTTTCTTTTACTTTTTAAATGTAAGGCCTCGCTTTGTATTTAGTACGGAGTATTAATTGGTTCTTAAATTCGTTGGTGCGGCCACGGCCTCTACTCTACTCTCTTATACTACCTCCGTCTAATAATAATTGTATTTCTAATATTTAAATTTGTTCTAAAATACTTATCGAGTATTAATTATTCCATCAATCACTTCTCATTTAAAATTTTTCCTATTCTATCCTCAGCCACTCCCCATTCTTAACTATACATCATTTAATGGGTGACACTATAATTTTTCTTCTTAAACCTTAATATATGCTTAACAATCTAGAATTACAATTATTAATTTGGCTACTCGTGTTGTTCTTGAGAGACTCACTCATAGATCGTTGGAATGTAACATTGTAACATGGTGAGTCAAAGCCTATATTGGCTCTGTTCGTTTCCTGGAGTTCCCAACTCCCCCATCTCATTTTCCGCGCGCATGCTTTTCAAACTGCTAAACGGTGTGTTTTTTGCAAAAAGTTTATATACGAAAGTTGCTTAAAAAATTATATTGATCCATTTTTGAAAAAAAAATAGCAAATAATTAATTAATCACGTGCTAATGGACTGCTTCGTTTTCCGTACCGGAGGGATGGGTTCCCAACTCAACCAAAAGAACAGAGCCATAGTAGTTTGAAGACTTTATTATGTACCATATAGGAGTACTACCATTCATCAAAAAGAAGATCCAGTACTGTATGAGAGAGAAATCCAACAAAGCTCGTGGGTCCACACCACCCATCACACAGGAGAATTACTCTAGTAGAATTGTAGAAAGGGCCGGATATGTACATGTACATGACGTAGGGGAAGAACAGAGATTTCCATTATTGTGAGAAAAACATATATTGGTATCAATTATTCAGAGTTAGGCAGCAACACGCACATATACTAGCTACTACCTCTGTCCCAAAATATTGCTACCTACAGACCAACGAATCTAGATAGAAATGTCTAAATTCGTTGGCCTATCCCATCCTAAATAGTAATATTTTGGGACGGAGTAAGTAGTTACTCCACGTACTAATTATTACTACATACTAAAAGTAATCGTCTTAGATAATAACACATTAAGAAGAAATTAATCAAATAAATGTTTAAGCTACAAAGCTAGTACTAATTAATATACATAACCATGCAAGAGCATGAGATAAAGAGACACGTACAAACATACAACAAATTATCAACTAGAAAAACTAAACGAATCAAGTTTACATTGCAACATACATACACATATCCATAGCCTAATCAATGAAACCTCGCACTATCTTGTACGATTTGTTTTGTTTTTTAAAAAATGTGACGACAAAGAACACCGGCGGATGGGAACGGCTACGGCAACTCGCACAATCTTGTACGGTCCATTTTTTTAAAAAAGTATGACGATGTAGATCACCGGACAGACGGGAACGACGACTACGGCAACTCGCACAATCCTGTACGGTTCGTTTAAAAGTAAAAATATGACGATGCGGATATCACCGGGTGGAGGGGGAACGAACGGGAGCGGCTACGGCAACGGCAGGAGAGGGTGCGGGGGCGGGGGCGGGGGGCGCTCTCGGTGGTCGCGGCCGAAGGCGCGGATGTGGTCCTTGAGGGAGCGCTTGTGCTTGAAGTCGGAGCCGCAGGCGCAGTGCCAGCGGCGGCCGCAGTTCTTCTCGTGGGTGCGCCAGTCGCCGCGGACGGCGAGGGGCTTGCCGCACTTGCGGCAGGCGAAGGGCTTGGCGCAGTGCTTCCGCTTGTAGTGGGTCTGCAGCGTGCGGAAGTCCTTGAGGGGGCGCGCCCGCGGGTGGTCCACGTTGTTCCGGCACCCCGCCGCGCAGCAGAAGCACGGCAGCCGCAGCATCGCCGCCGGCTGCGTCCCCCGCAGCGACTCCGGACCCCTCCTGTACTGCGACCCATGCCCCCACATATGCATCTGCAATATATAATCATCGTCATCCATGTATAATATATGTTTGAAATATTTTGGAGAGCCTAGCTAGATATCATGCATCTTTGAAGTATAGTGCTACTAGTATATACGATGAGGCGATGATATGCTTAATTTTTTTTCTACTCTGATCTATTTATCATATTAGAAGTTACAACAGGTGAATGTTATTTTAATCTTATTATTGTTATTATTGTTATTCGTTGCAACGGGTGAAGCTAGGATGAAATTCGCGGGAATTCACTTGGATTTTTTTGTATAAAATCATGAGCTACAATTAGGAGTCTGACTTTCATTTCAAGTTAGCATACGAATTTTTTTTAAAGAGATTTCTCATACAACTCCTTTTATATTTCCAAAAGCAAACTATCGAACTTAAAATCAAACTCAAACACGGATCTGTATTTCCAAAAGCGAATGAACTTAAAAATTGACTTAAATTACGTATGGCGTACCAAAATACCGGCAAAAACATCTTCAATTTTTATAATAGTAGAGATTTTGATTTTTTTTCTATTTATTTTTTAAATTTGATTAAGCTTATAGAAAAATATAACAATATTTTTAACACAAAACAAATATATTATCAAAATATATTAAATATTAGTTTTAACAAAACTAATTTTACTGTGACCCATGTCCCCACATATGCATCTGCATCTATATATATCTTCATCAGTATATATATTTGAAGAGTAAATTTCACAAAACTACAGGTACTTGATCAATTTATCGCAAAACTACAGATTTAACATGATGTATCACAAAACTACAGATTTAACACTAAATTTATCATAAAACTACAGATTTAAGATGTAATATCACAAAACTACAGATTTAGTAACAAAGTTATCACAAAACTACAGGTTTAATGACAATTTAATCACATTACTTGATCAATTATAAGTCCAACATAACATTAGTGCTAAGGATTTAAGTCTCAAAATCTGTAGTTTTGTGATAATTTTATTATTAAATCTGTAGTTTTGTGATACTTAGCCTTAAACCTGTAGTTTTATGATAAATTTATTGTTAAATCTGTAGTTCTGTGATACATCACCTTAAATCTGTAGTTTTATGATAATTTGACCAAAGTACCTGTAGTTTTGTGAAATTTACTCATATTTGAATTATTTGGAAGAGCGATATCATATCTGTAGCATGATGATGCATCTTTTTTTCAAAAGATAATTGGAATTTCAGCCATTGTTTCATAACAGAAGGTACAGCTAAAAGTATTGTGATGATGCATATATATAATGCTTTTCTTAATTCTAGCTGAATATACAGATGTATATATGTATTCCCAAGAAAGTATATATGTAGGAAAATTGTAGGCAGTGGCGAATTAAGCGTGATGATGATCTTATAGGTGACGCAAGTACGCGCTAGCTCACTTGATTATATTAGCTCTTGGAAAATACATAGGAGTAGACTATATATACTATAGGCAATGTACTTTGGGAGGTTAATTACGTACGAGAGAGACTGAAAATTTTGTATTACAAGTAGAGATCCACTTTGTAATCATACCACACGATTAGTAGTTCTCACTACCGCTAAAAAAGGAAAAAAAAGGTACTTCCTCCGTTTCACAACGTAAGACTTTCTAGCATTGCCCACATACATATAGATGTTAATGAATCTATGTTAGATTCATTAACATCTATATGTATGTGGGCAATGCTAGAAAATCTTAAATTATGAAACGGAGGGAGTTAGTGAAATAAGCTAAATTATGTGCGGGTTCTAGATGAGATCGTGAAATATTTTTTCTCATCAGTTGCTAGAACTTATATGGAAAGGTGAAATGCAAATATTTTGAAAATATGCCGCCCGTAATATGTGGCGTATTGAAGAAGAGTAGTCAAGGACAACATTATTATTATTATTATTGAACCTTGTTAATTTTTAAAAAAAACCCTCCAAAATCTTATTTTCAAATCTGAACATTTTAGCCCCTCACTTGGCCTGGGGAAACAACATTGCCACACCACCATTAATCATTGGACGTGGTAGTGTTGTCTTACCACGTGCCAATCTAACTAGATAAAACTTTTGCAACGCCGTCTAACTATAGTGTGAATAAAAAATCTTTAGATTTAGAAATAAGTTTTGGGATATTCTATTTCTAAAATAAAAAATTTAAAAGAAAATATCTCATGGAGGATGTTGCTCCTGCTTTAGTTCAAAGTACCGAAGCTTAATTAAAAATAAAAACTGACACATGGCTAATATATATCACATAATTTTTAATCTTTTACATTTTCATCTAAACTCATGTAAACATATATACATTATATAGTCGAAAAAACAAACCTTAGGTGCCGCCCATAGTACTGTTGGTCGGTCGAAATTATATGTACTAACTTGTGGTAATCGACCTTAATTAGCTTATTTTGATATATGATCCACTAGAGATATGAACTTGGAGGTTTCATGCAACAACAAGAGAATCGTAGGAGAGCACGTGTATCTGTGTGTACTGAATAGGAAATTAAAAAACCCAAATAATTTAAAAAAATATGCATACCATGCAGGATTATTTTGAAAGCTTTCTTCACATTGTGCAATTTTTATGCGACTTAGGCCCCGTTCGTTTCCACTACAAAGAGTAGATAAAGTTTTGAATATTCGTGGCACGCTTTTCAAACTGATAAACGGTGTGTTTCGTACAAAAACTTTCTATGTGAAAGTTGTTCTAAAATATCAGATTAATCCATTTTTAAGTTTGTAATAATTAAAACTCAATTAATCACACGTTATTACCATCTCATTTGTGTGAGACACTTAATCTTTATCTTCATCTTCATCTTTAAAACATTCAAACACCACCTTAGATCCATGTCGGTACTGCATGGCTGCAGTCCAAAGACTACTAGAATTTTTCCGGCCGGCAATAAATGGTGATTATTTTCCCTTATATTATATATGTGAACAAGCATGCTTGCATGCAAGGAGTTGAATTATTTCAAGGAACAACATACATAGATGCATATGGCATCTCAAGTTTTCAACAAATTTGGATTGTCAGATAATCCGGGAAAAAAATCCAAATCAATATTAAGAATATAAAATAAATTAACCACGTCCATTTTATGAGAGAGAGAGAGAGAGAGAGATCTCAATAATGTGGTGATCAGTCTTTTAATTTGAACGTAAGATCTGTAAATCTGTATATTCTTCTTGGATTAATTCTGGGATTCATCAGCATCCACTCAAAATAGGGCAAACACTAATAGATCTGTTAATAAATAGCGTACTTAGCTTGGTCATTGTTAAAAATAAAATGCAGACATAACGACAAGGCGTGTTTTTTCTCTAGGAGCTAGCTACTAGTACTTGTGCAGATGCCACAAATTGATCCATATACTAGGAGTATAGCTCAAACTAGCACGAGAGAGAGAGAGAGAGAGAGAGAGAATTTGGTCCCTCTCTGTCTCTTGATCTCTAGCCTGGATCACACCAATGCGCACACACACATAACATGCCAAAACATACATGAAACAAACAGAAAGGCCGTGATGGGAGCTAGGAAGCACACAACACATTTGTACTAGTAGAGCTATGCTAGGCCAAAATGAGGGAGCTAACAAATTAAAGCAAGTACAAATTAACCAACCTAGCTGCTAAATCACAGAAACTACTGATCATGCATATGATCCTATACCCCTCAAGCTCTTCATCTCATCATCTCTTCTCATATATGATCCTATGGCCCCCCATCCCCTCCTGTCTTCCTACATGCATGGCCCCCCCCCCCTTTGCGCACACACACACACACACTGCATGATCAAGCTAGATTCCCCTACTTATCCCTCATGATACTTGCAAGTTCTATCTTACTGTGATCACCATATCATGCTATATACGACTTCCCTCGACGACTACGTACTTGCCTTTAATTGGTATATGGTTAAACATATACTATTAGACTGATGAATCCTCGATTCTATTTTTCATCCTCTACTAAAGAAGAGAAGGAGATGAGCTACTTTGCCATGTAGAGCATGCATGCAGCATGAGAGAAATCAACAGACACATGAATTAACTGGTCTTATATATGTAAGCTTGTTCGTGATCAAACCTGCAGGTTGTTGTATCTGCTGAAGGTCTTGCAGCAAACAGGGCAGGCAAAGTGTGTAGGACCAATGAGGATCTGGGTTGGGGTAGGGATCCAATACTTGCCCTTGGTGAGCTTTCCCATAGAGAAGTAGTCCAAGCAGAGGTCATCACTAGCTGCTTCTTCTTCCTCCTCCCTCTCCACCTCCACCTTGTGATCATCATCATCATCACCATCAAGCTCTTGTGATGTCGTCGCGGTCGCGCCGAGAGGATTGCTCTTCGCGAAATCGATGACCGAGCTGTTAGGATCAGGAGAAGGCAGGCCAATTTGGAGTGATATGTCCACATCCTCCATGACCTCCTCTTCCTTCTCTTGCTTATAACAGCCATGGATCTTGTTGTGATCATGGATTGAAGGGAGGAGGCTGAGAAGAGGGATTTCCTCCTTTTTAGGAAGGGAATTGTGGGGAGAGGAGGATTGAGAGATTAGGCTTCTTTGGTTGGGGAAGATGTGATCTTTGCTTGGATTAGCCATGGCAGCTTGGAGAGATTACTTGCTGGAGTGGAGCAGTGCAGCAAGGGGATATGTATTATAGAGAGAAGAAAGTAGAGCTAGAGAGAGAGAGAGATGTGTGGATGTTTCATCATGTGACCCGTGACAACAAGTATATGCCTCAGTGGTTGATGTGGTTGTGGCTTTCTCACTGCACATAGACTTGCACCAGGCTCATGTATAACCCTGCAGGCCATGTAGCAGTGTCATCTCATTTGTGTCCAGGGCTCTCATGCAATTCTGTGCAAGTGGCTTGGGTTTTCTTCTCCCATTAATTCCAGGTTATCCCTTCCATTGATCAAAATATATCATTATTCAACAAATTAAAGGAAAAATAATCTTGTGTTTTTACTACAATAATGTTCTTACAAGCTAATGTGTCCATGCATGGTATATACATACACGTTTATATATATGGTGTATTCTGAATGCATGCAATGAAGCGATAATTAATATATTCTATATTCTTGTGAGTGTTATATACTACTCTCTACATCCCAAAATATAATGCACAATTACCACTATCGTAAAGATCAAGCAAGAATTATTATCACATCTTCATTTAGATCACTTCGGCTAATGAATACAATGCATGCACCCAATAAGATTAGAGATTTTGTAGGTAAAAGATTTTTTTTAAAAAAATGAATTAAAGAGGAGAGAGAGAGAGAGAGTAGTACTAGTTAATTATATGCATGCATGGATAGCATGTCTTATATTGTAAAATATAAAAAAATGGTTATCCTATATTTTTGGATGAAGGAAGTATTAATTTCTATGTTAATTTCAGGGGACAAGGTTCTTGTCAATATTCTTAGGGAAGCACTCGTTGATTTTATTTGTTGAAAACATGACATTAATTATTTTGATTTTTTTTGTGATTCTATATTTCAGGACTATGAACTTATAATACATATAATGCCAAGTATTAATGTCCTGTCGAAACTTTTTTAAGGTACATCCTTAGAATATTTAGGTGTGCAAAAATTTCACACAAAACGACATATAGAGAAAGCCTAATAATTAAGAAGTTCGCAGAAGAATTAGAGAGATGCTTCCAAATGAATCTTAATTACACTAAATGCAACAATTATCAGGAAAATAAAAGTAGCACAAAGAAAAATCTTACAATGCTATCTTCGTGTATTAAACTACTTGATATATGATTGATAATCTATATATGACAGTTAATGGGTATAAACCTATCCACTACAGTAAGGTGCATATGTATACATTATATATATGATGATGTATGTGGTTCTGTGGGACTGTGAGGTGGGGCTGGAGAGAGAGAGGGAGGCGTATAATGCAGTTAGAGTGATCGATGGACAGATCTAAATCAATTAATTCCTTTGTTTCTGCATACATTATGATCGACCCAGGTGCAAAAGGGATGTATAGATAAAGGTAAAACATTGACTGTAGCTCATAAAGATAGGAAGACAACATATAATCAATACATAAAATGGCAATGTCTGACCATCAGGTTGCAGAAGGACACAATAGTTTTGTTGCACACGTGACCTTACTTAACGATAATAAATATTATTAAAATTAAAAGGAAAATTTTGACACCTTCAAAACGACAACAAATAAAAAAAAATAAAGAAATAAGAAAAAGAAATTGTAGGAATCGAAATGACATGTTTCTCTAATTATGCACGAATGAAAAATACAGATCAGAGACGAGGAGGATCCCTTCCTTTGATACCATCACAGGAACACAGAAAACAAACGGAACAAATGATAGTTTCTAAGAGGTTGGATCTTTTGTGTATTTTTCTATGAAATTGACTCATATGAATGCAATCCTATGAAAAAAAATTCCTATCTTTTTTATTAATCAAAGGGTTCCATGGAAAAATTTTCTTAGGAAATTAAATCCTCTAAAAATTCTTATAGCAATCGTCCAATTTAGAGGGTGCATAAGGTTATAAACTTCAGAAACAGATACTCCACCCGCTAAACTTTCTATGCCATTCCACCCCATCTATAGTGGAACCCAAATTGAGGTTTTAAATTAGGTATAGGAGCAAACTTTTAAAAAATTATTAAGTGGTGCAAACCACATATCATTCATACATACCCTCCTTTTTTTAATTCCTCCCTTGACTCCGTCCCCCGTCCTCCAATGCTTGATTTTAGGCCATCGCTGATGGTGACTGGGCAACTATGGGTGAGGCTGATAGAGTGCAAAAAGGAATGGGCCGCCGGATGGTTCATGCTGACCGAGCATCACTACTACGAAAGATATTACTCCGGTGAGCAAAACCCATTTGTGGCGCGGTGGTATTAAGGCCTACCTCTACACAAACTACCGTGGAAATCGAGATTTTCATAACCGGCCGTTATTCTGCCTACAAAAATTGGTTTCAAAGGCGAATTCATGTTAAGAGGACCACTTGGGCAAATGGTTTTCAGGCTAAAGAAAATGAACCCCCCCTCCCGCCACCCTCCTAGTTGCTACTACAGTTCACGAGCAGCAATAGCAGGTCATAGGCAGTGGCGTAGCTAAAATTTTTTCAAGCCTAGTGCTCAACTAGTATAATTTACATTATTTACCTTTATCTATTGTCGACGTTTGATGTCGCGATTCCGGTATTTGCATAGTATGGGATCGTTGGTACTAGGATATATGCTAGACTGAGGTAAAAAAGACGGAGGCGAGGATTTTTATACAGGTTCGGGCCCCTGAATTGTCAGGTAATAACCCTACATCCTGTTGGTCGAAGCCGGTATTGCTCTTATTCACCGTAATCACACCAGTACAATAATTGGGGTAGTCTATCTAACTGTTGTTGACATGGCGGTCTGAAGTTCTGACTCGTAGTCGACAACAGGGTAGTCTTCCTCCTCGAGTTCGTGCCCGGCGAGATCAGAGATAGCGCTTTCATCTCTCCTGACAGTATCTGGAAACACCGTAGGGGACTAGCCGTGCTTATCCCTGAAGTCGATATCCGGCGTCTTGTCTTGGCGTATGTTGGCTTGTATGTTGTGGCTTCTGTTGTTCCATCTCTTCTATGGTGGGTTTGTCCCCTCTCCTCCTAGGGGGCCTTGTATTTATACCCATAGGTGTCCCCTTGTCCAAGTAGAACTAAGGAAACCAATATGGATATAATCCGGGTAGTCTTTGTCGTTTCCATGTAGAACTCTGGTTGTCTTTCCTTATCCGGAACTCCTCCTATATCCGCAGGTTGTTTCCGTATAGGACATGGTATGTGGTGGGTCCTGCCGAGATTTAGTCAACTACTATTAGGTATGTGGTATCCATAACCCTGACATCTATCATGTTTTGAGGTTTTAAAATGTAAATTTTAATGGATATTTTGGCTTAGGAGTAGGGCAACAACCCTAGCTACCCTACCTCTGTTTCCGCCACTCACAGCAACAAGCCAACAATATGTCATAGATCTCACAAAGCAAAGTCCATTTACACATATCAAAATCCATTAACATATTCAAATAAAGTCCATCACATATCACAAATTATAGATCTCCCGCTCCTAATTTATAGATGACACGACATCACTATCGTCAAGAAGGCTAGCACCGGGATCTGCTTACCTAGAGTTTAAGGTAGGCAACCAAGTAGGGGGTGCCGTGTGTGGGAGCACGGCTAGCACCGGAGCTGTCTCCATCGAGTTGGGCACAGTTGCTCGCTGCCATCAGGTCGGGCTCAACCCGTTGTGCGAGCCGCCATCATCATGCATTGAGAGGTGACATTTGCTGTCGTGTAGCATAGCCATCTTCCTCCCCATTCATTGATTCTAGCTAGCAAGAGTGCCGAGCCACTGCCCTCATCACTGAACCATCATCCTCCCCCTTCATTGATTCTAGCTAGTAGGAGTGCCAAGCCACCGCTCTCATCGCTGAGCCGTCACAACTACTGTTGCCGTTGTCTTCACTGAGCCATAGGCCGTAGCCACTGAGGCTTGTCATCGCTGAATCCAAAGCTTTTGGTGCCCGGATGCACTCGATCTAGATGAGGTGTCCCTTCCCTTCATCACCACCATGGGGCCGCAGTCGTTGAGGCTCGAAGACCACAATCACCAAATTCGGAGCTCCTGATTTCCACCGCCACCATATTTGGACGAGGCGCCTATCCCTTTTGGTGCCCAGCCGAGCCCCACCGCCACGGAGCCCCATCTGCTTTTTATACTTTCTATATATCTTTCAGCATTGAGATCCATGAGCAGGGTGCCTTATCATCCCATCATTCTTACGCTCTTTGTGGTGCCAACGCATCATCTTTGCATGCTTTTGGTTTGCGTACATGCGTTCAATCCGAGGGATTATAGGAAAAATACCACGCAACCATAACGAGCACTTTCCTCGTCTTCAGTACGGGACCACCACTGTCATCATCATCGTTATCTCCACCCTTATACAACAGTGCTTCGTAAACTGGACACGTATCCAAATCTGCATATCACCTCGATATAGGATACAACCATTTCGACATGCGTGAATTTTCTGCACTCCCAATTTGAGTGGGCAAACAACCTTCTTCGCTTGGTAGCAGTACATGTCCCGTTGGAAGGAGGTCTCCGATCAACTGTAGAAGCTCTTATCACTCCAATTGTTTGTTGATTTCATTTGTAGCAACGAGAGGACAACATTTAACTCGGTGTGCTCCTTGTTGCATCTTGGATAAAGCAAGGTTTTTAAGTCCTCCACCATGACCTTGAATTTCTCGTATTGCATGTCATCGTCGTAGGCTGTCACCCAATCGTGCAACATCTGATTCAAACCATCTGATTCGCCATTTTCATATCCACCTCCGTCAGCAGGCAACTCCACATTATCTCCGTCCATTAAATCCGGATTCTCATCTTCACCATGATTGTCCTGACATTTGTAATTAGGCATAAAACCCCTCATTAGGAGATGCTCGTGAACTCGTTTTGCAAAAAAATCTCTCTCGTTCCTACAATCAAGGCATGGACAATGCAAGTGTTCCATCGTGCTCAACGATTTGGAACTCGTCACCACGATCACGAAGTTTGTTACTCCAATGGCATACTCCAAGATACCGCGCAGTGCAATGTTCATCCCTCCTTCATCCATCGGTTCTATGAAAATTCTTAAATTAACCGCTAAGATACATATATCAATCAAATTCGTAATATCTAGAATACTCGATGATTTAATACTCTCTACATTACTCAAATTGAAAATTAACATTCTATATATGTATTAAAATTCTAATATATATTAATAATAGGTAAATTACTCATAGATGATTAATGTATAAAGTACTCCAAAATTAATAAGTTATCATACTTTCTCAAATCACC